AAGCTATAGTCTTGGGAAGCCAAGGCTTATAATGAGCAGCGTTTTTAATGATTCATATTGTGCTGGATTTATGGGCAGATATTTGCAATGTAAATGCAGAAAACAAATCCAAATAGGATCCCCAAAGCCTCTGCATACATCGGAATCTCACGTTATGGGCCCGGTTCAAATCAGATCTTGATTACGGTCTTTGGCCGGCCCTTACGATGAAAAAAAAAAGATAAATTAATTTAACAATTCATTATTGTGAAAGAGAAAAAAACAATAACAGGACAATAAAACAACGTATCTATTTAAAAGTTCTGTGCAATTGCATGTCTTCATGAAAATATTTACAGAATACAGAACAACAGAGTTGGATGGGACCTCGGAGGTCTTCTAGTCCAACCCCCAGCTCAATTATGAGTTAAACAGTAGTCCTCGACTTACAACCACAATTGAACCAAGAATTTATGCCGCTAAGCAAGACAGTTAAGTGAATTTTGCTCCATTTTGCGACCTTTCTTGCCGCAGTGGTTGACTTAGTGACAAGGTTAAGTGATTCTGGTTTCCCCCACTGACTTTGCTTGCTAGGTCACTAAAGAGGATCACATGACCCGTCATATATATGAACCAGTTGCCAAGCGGTCTGAACTTTGATCACGTTACCCTGGGGATGCTGCAATGGTCACAAGTGTGAAAAATTGTCATGTCGCTTTTTTCAGTGCCATTTTAACTTCGAACAGTCACTAAATGAATTGTTGTAGGTTGAGGACTATCTGTATTACCCTCAAATATGGAGATGATTGGAGAGATCAGACCATTGGAAGTTTTAAAGAAAAGACTGGACAGCCATTTGTCTGAAATAGTATAGGGTTTCCTGCCTGAGCAAGGGGTTGGACTAGATGACCTCCAAGGTCCCTTCCAACTTTATTATTATTATTATTATTATTATTATTATTATTATTATTATTATTATTATTATTATTATTATTACTACTACTACTACTACTACTACTACTACTACTACTACTACTACTACTACTACATCTTGGGACACTGTAGAAAAGTCATGGCCAGGGGGCTGGACTAGAAGACATCCAAGGTCCCTTCCAACTCTGCCATTCTGTTATTCTGTCATACTACCTTGAAATTTAATAATAATAATAATAATAATAATAATAATAATAATAATAATAATAATAATAATAATAATAAGTAGTAGTAGTAGTAGTAGTAGTAGTAGTAGTAGTTGGAAGAGACCTTGGAGGTCATTGAGTCCAACCCCCTGCTCAGACAGGAAACCCTACACCATTTCAGACAAATGGCTGTCCAGTCTCTTCTTAAAAAGTCTGCAGAACACATTGAAATATCTGTAATTAAGACTGCATTTGATCGTTTTTTATTTTGCTCCCAGTGGAAATCAAGACCATTTTAACCAGGAACCAATTCTGGGAAGCTAATGGAATAAACTAATCTCTTCGAAAATGCAATTTTCTAGGAGTTTAGTGTACGCTGTAACTGAAGCATTGATATTCAATTAGAATTCATAAACTGTATTATTACACAAGTTTCAGTGCCAATTTCTAACCCCTATTTAAATTATTTTTGAATAAAAGATAATATTGGTTAATTGTCACTAGAAGTAATTATCAAAGAATTTAGGGAATGTTCCAGCAATCGTATTCAGTTTAACTGCTATGCAGTGAGCTAATCTTATTAACTATGTGGCGTTTATCAAAGGATAGAAATTAATATGTGAATAGCAATTCTTGATAGGTCCAAACTGTTGCTTTTTAATAGAAAAGGATGTTTAACCTCCATAATTCCGAAGACTTCCAGAATTATATATAAAATAACTTTTTAAAATTAAGAGAAAATGTTTAAATATTAAATCTCTGTCAGTGGCTGGTTCATCATGTTAACCATAATTGAGTTAACCATAATCTTTGAATTATGTCATAAACCAAGCTTCTACAATTTGCATCAATTGCTATGTGAGAATTTCCAGACTATAGGGCAAGGCTAGTGAATTATAGATTTTGGCAATATATTTAAAATAAATAATAGCACACATTTTTTCCCCCTCCAAATTTGGCTTCGAAATATTTGGAAATGAAAAAAAACCTAACTAATGAATAAACATTTCAAACATACCCAACATATGATACTTGTAGGGAAGATTCTGGACTACTTCCTGTAAGTTATGGATTATTCTGTTTGTGACTTACAGACTGGGTGTTGGAAAGTATATTCATATCAATAATATCCAAATATATAAAATGCCACAGCAGTTTTTATTTTCCACCAACTTGTCCTGAATTTAAAGGCCATTTAAATTTCAGAATGAAATTTAGCATCAGCATAAATTGTAGAAGTGGGACCCCTGCCGGGCAATTTCATATTTGTTCTCAGTACAAATATGGTAGTCCTCGACTTACAGTCACAACTGAGTCCAAAATTTTGGTTGCTAAGTGAGACATTTGTTAAGTGAGTTTTGCCCCATTTTACGACTTTTCTTGCCACACTTATTAAGTGAATCACTGCAGTTAAGTTAGTAACACAGTTGTTAAGTGAATCTGGCTTCCCCATTGACTTTGCTTGTCAAAAGATTGCCGAGTGGCTGAATTTTGATCATATGACCACGCGGATGCTGCAACGGTCATTAAATGTGAAAAACAGCCATAAGTCCCCTTTTTTAGTGCCCTTGTAACTTTGAACAGTGACTAAATAAACTGTTGTAAGTCGAGGACTGTACTTCGGGAACTATTAAAGAGGGGCTGTCTTCACCCTCTTTCTCTTACTCTGGGACACTGCAACCATCATAAATATGAGTCAGCTGCCAAGTATCTGAATTTTGATCAGGTGACCATGGGGTTGCTACAACGGTCGTAAGTGTGAAAAATGCTCCTAAACACTTTTTTCAGTGCCATTGTAATTTTGAATGGTCACTAAACAAACTGTTGTAAATCAAGGACTATCTGTAATGGAAAGTGGATCCATGTAGTTGAAACAGAGTCAGATCCAGTTAGTGCCTGAATGGAAAACCTGCAGAGAATCCCAGACTGGGCTGGAATGTAAGGTAGCTAGGAAAAAGCAGTGGAAATGTAATTCATCTCCCATTGAGTTTGACTCAAGGATATTTGTCTTCTTGATGCAATTGCAGCTTTTGGCCGATTCACATATTAAATTCCACAAGTGGTGTAGCATGATCGTGATTGTCACTGTGGAAAAAGAATTTCCAGACTCTATGGCAAGGCTAGTGACCAAAATGGGAACCAGAATTTCCTTCATTAAGCAAGATGGTTAAGTGAGTTGCGCCCATTTTTAATGACCTTTTTTTTTTGTCATGGTGGTTAACAGTAGCATGCAGTCACTAACTGAAACTGTCTTTCCCCCATTGATGCTAGCCGAGAAGGTCGCAAATGGTGATCACAAGACCCCAGGAGGCTGCAGCCGTCATAAATACATGCCGGTTGCCAAATGCTCCAATTCTGATCATGTGACTGCAGAGACGCTGCTGTAGTTGTAAGTGCGAGGACTTACAGTGCTGTCATAACTTTGGACTATCTTTAAACTAATGGTTGTAAGTCAAGGACTGCCTATATAGTTTTTGGCAATATATTTAAAGGAAATAATAGCACACATTTTTCCGAATGTAACAAAACGTTCAGAAACTCAATTGAAAGAGGCTTGGAGAGCAAACTACTGCCAACACATTTTTTTCCCCTCCAAATTTGGCTTTGAAATATTTGGAAAGGAAGAAAACTTAGTACTTATGAACGAACTTTTCAAACACACCCAACATATGATACTCGTATGAAGGATTCGGGAGCGTTTTAGCCTTGATTTACTCCAAATTTGGCTAAAGGCTGAGCTGGTCTGTCAAGGTACCTGTCCCACTTCCAGGTAAGTTTTCCCATTTCAGGAGCTTTCAAACATCTCCAAGGACTTTCATGCTCCATTACACCTGCAGCACTTCCATTTTGGGTCTCCTTTGAGATAAAACCCCTGGCAATTTATCAGGGCTTTTCAAACCCTTCAGCTTATTCCAATATATTCTATATATAGTTATTCAAAGGTAACTTCCAGAGTCCAGACTTAGATTCACCTCTCCTGCTAGGTGGTGGTTTGTTTTAGCCATAGTTTGTGGGACCATTCTGGTTCACCTGCAATGGTGAATTACCCTTTGATAGTGAAATGGGCAGTATATAGATTTAATAAATAAATAAAATGGAATGCAAAACTGTGCACTTGGGTTCATGAAGCACGGAGACTGGCTGCTCACACCTCGCTTTGCTGAGCCAAACACAAACATTATAATCTGATATTCGCCTGGAATACTAAAATAATACATATATATGGAAGGTCGCTTTTATCCCTCAGACTTCCGCATCTTCCGCATAGCAACCGTTGCTAAGAGCAGACATTCAATTGCTAGCGCCTTCCTGGCAGCTATAGCAAAGCCCAACAGTGCGATGGAACCATGACAAAAGAAAGGAATTGGGCCACCAAAACACCTCCAGAAAAGGTCATCAATTATTGGAGAAATAAAACGCGGGAAATATCCGGAGGTTCGAATAACGGCCCTCCTAGCGAGTTGAAATAATTCACCATCTTCCTGCCAGGACGCGAAAGCGCGGGCTGAAGCGAAACCATAGAGATACAAAAGGGAAGAAACGACTCTTGGTTTTCATCGTCTATCGAGCTATTTTATCATTTGTCCGACAGAGCAGCAACGGGGCCTTTTTTATTTACTGCTCCAAATATTATATATTGACAAATGGTCAGTAACTCTAGAAATATCCCGCCTGAAGTAAAGGAGCGGCTAAAAATAAAAAAGGCGGCCATGTTGTTTTTACTATCTCTAGGAGCACGGAATGGGAAGGGCCGCTCTAGGGCGAGACTCTCTGTGGTTCTTTCTCCTTTGCTGGGGAAGCGAAGTCAGTTGGGATTTCGCGGTTTTGCACGAAACGGGCGCTTTGCGTGGTTCGCGATTGCTTCTTTGTAGCCTTTCCTCCTTCCTTCCTCATGCTGCCCGCTGACTGTGCCCAGAGGTAATTGTTTATTATTTTTTAAATATTATTATTATGAAGGTTGGTCACCCAGTTATCCAGAGTTTAGACTGGATTTGCATTTGTTTTGCAAATAGAATTACAATAATACATATAAATAAATATAACATAAACATAATTTAATTGCAATTTGCAATTTGCATTGCAAATAATAATATTTAACATGTATATGTATTTCTATGTAAGGGTATAGGTATATACATATGTTGTATATAGCATGTTTATATGTGTGTTATGTATGTCTACACTTTCAAGGGCAGGCGACAGAAGTTCATTTTTAATATGTGCCAGTGTGCCCACAAAAAAAAAATGTCAATAAAGGTTATCAACATCTAACATTTTTATCCACCCGTTGAGATTTTTACCAAGCACCTGGGATGGGCAGGTGTGAATGTTTGTTAGTGTTAAATAATGTTACAGAGGTATTATTGTTGTTGCTGTTGTTGCAGAATGCAAACTGTTCCAAGTAAAACTGCCTTTTGCAGCTGGCTGGTCAGGAGCCAATGCCCGTAGTGTTCAAGGGGTGCTCCAGAAGTTTTGGGATTGCACCCAAGGTGCTGATTTGGTGCTATCTTTGCTTGCTTTTGGCACAGTCATCCCTACTTCTATTTGCAGGTCTTTGTATTTTGGAATTTTCTCCAGTTCTTTCTCTTCTATTCTGCTGCCTCACTGTGTCCATGGAGATTCTCAGTCATCCAGGTCATAGTTATCCCAAAGATGCTTTTCCACGAGGCAACTGGACTTTCTTGTTTTTCTTTGAAGACGTTTCGCTTCTCATCCAAGAAGAACAACAAAGTCCAGTTGCCTCGTGAAAAAAGCATCTTTGGGATAACTATCTCACTGTGGTTTGTTGCACAGTCATCCAGATGTTCAGGCTGGGTTGGGCATTTTGTCCACCTAACATAGGCCGATCTGGATGTTTAATGGTCTTAAAAAGTATCTATGCCAGATGTGAGCTGTTCCAAATAAAGCTGTTTTTGCAGTTGACTGAGAGTTGAAATAAGGTAGGAAGAAACCACTTCTGACCACTACAGACATTTGTAGGGCATCCCCAGAAACTGAGCCCATTTTTAAATCGCTTCTCCTGGGATGTTAAGGAAAAATAGCTATTTCTTGGCTCTTTCCAGGCTGGTTTCCCTCTTCACCCAGGCTTTGGAAGACTGCACAGAGCAGAGGACAAAAATCCAGCAGAAAATTCAACAGTGCCGGGCACTTCTTGGGGACTGGTAAGCTGGGAATAATTTTGAAAGTTTTTTTTTTAAAAAAGTGTACCTTTCTGTTTAGTACAAGGGGAACAAAGAATGGGACTTTCCTTCCTCTCTTCTCCCCTTCTCCTTCCCCTCTTCTTCTTTTTCTCCTTCCCTTTCTCCTTCCCCTCCTCCACCTCACGGAAAAAAGTCATTCCAACAGTGACTATCCCAATGCCACAAACCTCCCAGTCTTTCCTAAGCTTCTGCCCAGATGAAATTATTATAATCGTGGGCAACCTATAGAAACTGGGAGGGTGTGGAAGAAGGGATGGACACATCTGTTATTTGCTGAATGTGTGTATTCTCTTTTCTTTGTGCTAGGAACTCTGACGGAGAAAACCCCATTCCTGAAGAGGCCAAAAATGAGAAACGTGGTAAAGGAAGCATCGTTCTTTACTAGATCCCCTTGTTATTTATGTATTCATTTAAACAATGTATATAGATGCCGGATTCACACATAGGTGATTCCGGGCAGTCTATAACGTTTAAAACTCCACTGCATAATAAAAGCCCATGAAAACCTCCTACTTTACTCTCCATGGCAGCAACAACACAATCAAATCAGCCACTTAATTGGATCTATATTGCTTCTTGGTCCCCAGACCCTTTTTCTGGGTTATAGGAAGTCCTGGGCCTTTGATTGGAGACATCAGGATCTATGCTACTTCATTACAGTCATACCCTATTCCTGGATTGATGAATTCCAGTAATGCATGGTTTGTTTATCCATGGCTGGTTGAATAAACTGCCATTAGCTGCCATTACACAAGGCCATCCCAGTACCACAATTGCTAAGCTGTAATTGACTGAATTGCCACACCCGAAGCAAAAACCAAAGAAGGCACAATGCAGTTACAAGTCTAATAAATAAACAAAAAATAGTTTTACAAAACGTTGATGAATAAATGGATTCAATGCTGTGGATCCATAGAAAGCAGCTTCCCAGGTTGCAAGGCAGCATGGCTGGCTGGGGAATTCTGGGAGTTGAAGTCCACATGTCATAAAGTTCTCAAGGTTGGGAAACACTGATATAATCAATCCCAGGGGTCTTCAAACTTGGCCCTTTTATGACTCGTGGACTTCAACTCCCAGAATTGCGTGCCTGGCTGAGGAATCCTGGGAGTTGAAGTCCACAAGTCATAAAAGGGCCAAGTTTGAAGACTCCTGATCAATCCATTTTTGACTTGCTTCCTTCACTTGTAGAAACAGAGCCTTCATCTGAGGAGCTTAAGGATCTGGAACTGCTTAACAAAGCTTTGGAGAAAGCATTAAGAGTCCGGTCAAAATTCCACCAGGTGCCATGTGAGACTGTTAAAGTCTCCGAAGCTGCAAGTAAGAAGCCGGTGAGCCAGGCTGCACGTAATCCTAAGGACCAGACCCCCAAGCCCCCCCAGATGTCTCCTGTGAGTAGAAAGCTGGTGGCGTCCAAAAAACCCACTGCGTATATGTTGAAGGCTCCCTACAAAACTGATACGACCGTGAAAAGGCCCCCCGTGAAAATACCAACTGGACGGAGCTCCAGAACATCCAAAATTGCTGGGAAGAAGTCGTCCCCTGTAGGGGTTGCCTTTCCAAAGTTGAAACCGTGCGCAGAAACAGCCAAAGACAGTCGCGGAAAGGTCCATGTTGCTGCAGAACCCGGATTGCAGTTGGGCTCTCCCAAAGGCCCGTGTCGCACAACGGCACCACCTTCGTTTTCAGGTGGGGGGGACTTTGCAGAAACAGGCCTTCAAGAACCTAAGGTAGATCCTGATCCAAAGGCTTTAGGTGAGCCGTGTCCTTTAAGAACAGACCCAGCAGGAAAAGAAACAGAGCCTCCAGTGTCCACTCTTCAACAACATGGGTAAGTCGCCTCCAAAAACTTGCCTCCAGATAGAGGTTTGGACCCAACCAAGCCTGAGCTGGATAGGCACTGATCCATAGCTTCTTTTTTTGTGAGTGCAACAACTGGCTGAGTTCCCTCTACTGCAGCATTTTTGTTTGCTGAACATGGTGTGAGCTATAAATAGCAGTCAAACTCTCCCTGTCTTTCTTTCGATCTATATCGGCTTCTTCGGTCTTCTTTGAGCCAGTTTGATTCTAGTGGTTAAGGCACCAGGCTAGAAATCAGGAGACCATGAGTTTAAGTCCCGCATTAGCCGTGAAAGCCGACTGGGTGACTTTGGGCCAAGCACCAGGAGACAGTGAGTTCTAGTTCTGCCTAGGCCATGAAAGCCAGTTGGACAGACTTTGAGCCAGTCACCAGGAGACTGGGAGTTCTAGTCCCACTTTAAGCAGGAAAGTCAGCTGGGTGACTGAGCCAATCACCGGGAGACTGGGAGTTCTAGTCCCATTTTAAGCATGAAGGTCAGCTGAGTGACTGAGCCAATCACTGGGAGACTGGGATTTCTAGTCCCACTTTAAGCATGAAAGTCAGCTGGGTGACTGAGCCAATCACTGGGAGACTGGGAGTTCTAGTCCCACTTTAAGCATGAAAGTCAGCTGGGTGACTGAGCCAATCACTAGGAAACTGGGAGTTCTAGTTCCACCTTAAGCATGAAAGCTGGCTGGGTGATTTTGGGCCAGTCAGCCAATCACTCCCTCTGAGTCTAACTCACCTCACAGGGTTGTTGTTGGCAAAATAGGAGGAAGCAGAAGCATTGGATATCCTCACTGCCTTGAGTTATATATGAAAAGAATAAAGGCGGGATGCAAATGAAAGGAAAAGAAATAAAACATAAAATAAAATAAAATTGCAGGTTGCTAGTTGAATGTGGTGGGTTGAATTTTTGGAGCTCTCTGGAGGCCCTAATTTGAACAAATAAACCTGGTCAAAATTGCTTTCCTAGCTGAGGGCAAAGAGAATGATCTCGAAAACGGTGCAATAGTCACACCAGAATTGCGATTTGTGGCGCCGTTTGCTTGCCCGTCTTTTCCAAAATTCAATCCAAAGCCGAGCTGAGATTTCTCCCCGTTTGCAATATTGGTGGGCTGTGCATTCATCAAGGATGATAACGCCAAGCATTTATTTATTTTATTTTTGCAGGTCTTCGCTGAAACTGCCCCTTCCCTATCAGAAAGCTTTTTCCAAGTATCTCAGGTAAGCTGATCCAAACTAGCCTGATCTGCAAGTCGACAGGAACTGGGGGTGGGGGGGAAGAGGAATAAACTGTAGGGTCTTTCTGTTTAGATGACCCAGGTTGGGGTTAGTTTGCAGAACGAATGTAGGATTCCAAAGTGGTTTTGCGAACCTTAGTTCTGGGGCCTTCAGAGGTGCAGTAGGAATCTTGGGACAGACAGCCATGTACCAAGTCTTTTGGCTTTGACCCCTGAAGTCAATCTACACATCTTAAATAAGTATAAGGGGTGATATGTACTTCAGGGGCCTTCACAGAGGAGAGGAGATTGAGCTGTTCTCCAAAGCACCAGAGGGCAGGAAAAGAAGCAACAGATGGAAGATCATTAAAGAGAGAACCAACCTAGAACTAAGGAGAAGTTTCCTGACAGTGAGAACAATTAATCCGTGGAGATTCTGAAGAAGAGATGGATCAGCCATTTGCCCAGAATGGTACAGGGTCTGCTGCTTCAGCAGGGGGTTGGACTAGAAGACCTCCAAAGTCCCTTCCAGCTGTATTATTCTATGTTTTGAGTGCTACATATTTTGAATTGCTAAAGTTAAGAAGCGCTCCTCTAAAAGGCAGCCGTCTCCAACCTTGGCTACTTTGTAAGACGTGTGGACTTCCACTCCCAGAATTCCCCAGCCAGGCATGCTGGCTGGGGAATTCTGGGAGTTGAAGTCCACACGTCTTAAAAAGTAGCCAAGGTTGGAGATCCCTGCCTTAGGTCTAAGGGACCTTGCACTGCACAGGATGTTGAACCAGAATAGAAATCCCTAAGAACGCTTCAAAATACAAAATTCTGCAAGCCTTGTAAAAGTAGCTGGCAAGATTATCTCGGTCTCTTCTCCAGGCAGTAACAAGCCAGGTCTAAAGATTGGAGCATATCCCAGCTTTTTCTGGCTTATTATTTCCCACTCTTCTGCTTCTCTATACAAGGTTGTTGGAGAAGTGTCAGGATTTGAAAACGGATCCCGAGGCAGCTGTCCCCAAGAGGCAATTTTTAGAGAGGTTGCAAGCAACTGTATCCTTTTGTTCATTTAGCCTTTCTAGAAAGAAGAAAAAAATGTGTTTGCAGGTATGACTAGGGCTACCTGTCTGCTCTTCCCTGGTGCTCACACAGGTGTAAATGAGACATTTTGGTTTGTCTGATTTTAGCCTTTTTTTAAAAAAAAAAAATTGCAATTTCCTTATGCTTTGAATGGACTTGTTAACTCCAAACTCCTCTGAGTTACCAAAACTGTTCCAGTATTATGGATTTCTCACATCAATCTCTGTTTTGATTCTAAGCAATATAGACTTTGATATGAAATAGCTTTCCTCTGTGCCCCACATTATGTGTAATCCCTTCTCCGGGCAGGTAGAAATTCTTGGGCTTGGAGTCTCGATACATCTGAAGAACCTCAACTTGCCAAAGCTGCTGTAGACATAAGGCACTGTTCTTCCAAACTGGCCAGCCATGTTGGCTGGGGAATTCTGGGAGCTGACGTCCACACATCTTGCCAAGTTTGAGAAACACTTGTAGGAAGGAAACCGATTAGAAAGCCTTCTCGCGGTCTGTCTGAGAAAGGAACACACAGCATTGTACCAATACAAGAGAATATTTGTAGCTCAGGGTTGTGAGCTACAAATTGTGGGATCCTTGGTGCTCTCTGAGTTTGGTGGTTTTCTTGCAGGCATTTCATGACCCAACTAGGTAGCATCATCAGTGCTAGAAGGGAGTGGGGTTTGCGGAGAGGAGGAGGATGAGAAGAAGACTGGGGTCCTTGGTGTCCTCTGAGCTAGATAGCTTTCTTGCAGACGTTTCATTACCAAACTAGGTAACGTCATCAGTGCACAGTATCGTTCCCTTTCCTTAAGCAGATGGTCAGTTCTTCTCTCCCACTCCAGCCTTTACCCCAGCAGAGGTGAAGCAGGAGTTGGTGCATCTACGTGAACTTCACCTGCTCATCACTCAGCACATGGAAGCTGAAAGCCCAGGTGAGAAGAGGCCACGGAACCAAGTTTCTTCACACCTACCTGGGCATGGATTTGCAAGGGAGTGTAGGGACATTGCAGTCATTGGATCTTTGTTTAAAGCAGGGGTGTCCAATCTCGGCAGCTTTAAGACCCATGGACTTCAGCTCCCAGAATTCCTCAACTCTCGGAGTTGAAGCCCCCAGGTCTCAAAATTGACAAGGTTGGACAACCCTGCTTTAAAGTGTTGTATCTCACTTTGAGGCCAAATTAAGGTAGCAGCCAGGCTTTGAAGGACAGGCCATGCCCTTACAACCTAACAAGACGGCACAGAGGACATCAGGTTGGTCTTCCTCTTCCTTGCAACTCAAAAGTGGGGCCCTTATCCAAGGTCCACCAGTGAGCAAGATCCAAAATAACAACTCCAGTGGAAGTTGGAGGGGGAATGAAGCTTCTTCAGCCAAATAATTTTCCACCTCTGATTCAACTCTCGACATAGCTACGCTTAAGCCACGACCAGTTGTAGGGCCTTGCCCATCTTCTGCAAGGCTTCTGGAGATCTTCTGGAGAAACATCTTGAGAAGCCATCTGCCTTTTCTCGATGGCCTCCTTTGATTGTAGAGCAGGATTTAGAAAAGAACTTTGCCCGAGAGGCTGATTTGGGATGGGTTGTTTGGCAGATGGGTAGATCTCTGTTTTGGTAGAGTGGCACTGTCTTAGCTTGGAACGATGTTAAAAGGAAGAATTGCAGGCTGTGTGTGTGTGTGTGTGTCATGGCATTTTTTTAATTTGATTTTTTTTTAAAAAAAAAAAAAATCCTCTCCCACTAAGTATAGGTAAATCCTTGACTTACGACCACAACTGAACCTAAAATTTCCATTGCTAAGCAAGACAGTTGTTAAAAAACACTGGATGTTTTTAAGAAGAGATTGGACAACCATTTGTCTGAAACAGTATAGGGTTTCCTGCTTGAGCAGGGGGTTGGACTAGAAGACCTCCAAGGTCCCTTCCAACTCTGTTATTCTGTTCTATTTCTATTCCTATTCTATTCTATTTCTACTGCACTCCACTCCATTATTTCTATTCTGTTCTGTTCTGGTCTATGTCTATGTCTATGTCTATTTCTATTCTATTTCTACTCCACTCCATTATTTCTAGTCTAATCTATGTCTATTTCTATTTCTATTCTATTCTATTCTATTCTATTCCCCATTCCATATTCTATTCTATTCCCCATTCCATATTCTATTCTATTCCCCATTCCATATTCTATTCTATTCTATTCTATTCTATTCTATTCTATTCTATTCTATTCTATTCTATTCTATTCTAGTTTTGCCCACTTTTCTGGCCACCATTGTTAAGGGAGTCACTGCAATTCAGTTAGTAACATGGTTGTGAAATGAATCCAGCTTCCCCATTGACTTTGCTTATCAGAAGGTCGCAAAAGAGGATCACATGACCCCGGGACACTGCAATCGTCATAAATATGAGTCAGGTGCCAAGCGTCCGAATTTTGATCACGTGACCCTGGGGATGCTGCAACGGTCGTGTGAAAAATGGTCCTAAGTCACCTTTTGCAGTGCCGTTGTAACTCTGAACGGTCACTAAAAGAATTGTTGTAAGTCGAGGACTACCTGTGTTTCATTTCAGACCGTTGTTGCCTTTGAGCCTTCACATGTCAGTTAGTGAAATGGCAGTCTAGAAGGGGTTGGTCCGGAGCAATGTTGTCTTACCGTGTCTTTCTTCTCAGAGTCACTTGGAGAAAACCCAACCTGCGACAGAGCGTACGAAAGCCTCGTGACTTTGCAGGCCCTACAAGAGGTAGTAGAGCAGCATCTCAACAAACTGGACCAGATGCGAGAGGGTGAGAGTTTTCCACTTGAGGGCACCGTTAGAACTAAAAGGTGGACTTCCACAGTTTTGTTTAGCTTACGGGCTCTGGATTCCTCGGCTTCTTTCAACATTATACCTGCAGGATTATGTAGGCTGCAAAACTTAGAATATACAGGTAGTCCCACTAAAGGAGAATATTTGTAGCTCGGTTGAAATGAGGCATCCTTGGTGTTCTCTGAGCTTGGCTGCTTTTTTTTTTTTTTGGCAGACATTTCATGACCCAACTAGGCAACATCATCAATATTAGAAGGGAGTGGGGTTTGTCAGGACAAGCCACCTGTATATAAGCAGAGAGCAAGCCCCACTCTTCTTTAGCACTGATGCTATTGCCTAGTTGTGTAATGAAACCTCTGCAAGAAGTCGACCTTAGCTGAGAGGGGCACCAAGGACCCCAATTGTGTGGTTAGTTTTCAGTTTGGGGGCTGATGGTTGTATGAATCCAGCCAATCCTCCGTGTAAGAGGTGAACCCAGATTCTAATTCTGCTGTAGCACATCCCACAGAAAGGATTGTGTTGTTGTTGTTTTTATTTACCACAATCAAATGCTGTAGGGTTTGCTCTCCGTTTATATTCTAGTGGCTTGCCCTGTCAGTGGGCTGGTTCCTTGTTGTAAGTGTGAAAAACGATCACACGTCACTTTTTTCAATGCCGTTGTAACTTTGAATGGCCACTAAACAAACCGTTGTAAGTTGAGGACTGCCCCTAGTGAGACTCAGCCTCCTCTTCTACGTCAGTCTTTTGGTGCTTGACATTGTCACAAAGATGTTTTTCCTTTCCTGATTAGCCCTGGTGTCCCATGCAGAGTTTGCCTCGCTCTGCCTGAGTGACGAGGAGAAGAATGACCACGATTGCTTGGGCTTCTATCATGTTCCCCTGGGAGAGCAAGACTGCTGCGATCCAGATTTACCGGGACCTCCCCCACTTCTGTTTTACTCCAGCTTGGATGAGTTGAAGGAGATGGAGGCTTTAAAACTGCAGGTGGCGATGCTGAATCAGAAACTTCAGATCCAGACGGTAATTAGATGAGATGAGATGAGATAACCTTTATTGTCATTTTTTTTACTGTGGGCACAACGGTATTTAGCCAGGCACAGGTGCCTGGCTGAGGAATTCTGGGAGTTGAAGTCCACAAGTCATCAAAGGGCCAAGTTTGAAGACCCCTGGGTTATTGTTTTGAACCAGCCTGTTTTCCATCGCATTACCCTGGTAGCGCTGTTGTTAGAATGCAGTATTGCAGGCTAACTCTACCGACTGCCAGCAGTTCGATCTTGACCGGCTCAAGGTTGACTCAGCCTTCCATCCTTCCAAGGTTGGTAAAATGAGGACCCAGATTGTTGGGGGCAACTGACTGACTCTGTAAACCGTTCAGAGAGTGCTCTAAGTCTAAGGCACTGTGGGGCAGAATATTTATTTATTTATTTATTTATTTATATTTGAATTTATATCCCGCCCTTCTCCCGTAGGACTCAGGGCGGCTGACAATCTATTTAAAATACATACAAAACAATACAAATTTAAAATTAATTAAAAAGAATATTAAATATTTGTCAAATTTAAAATATAATTAAAACCCCCCTAAAAATTACCCTAGGCCAGTCCTGCAAGCTGGNTGGCTGTGGAATTCTGGGAGTTGAAGTCCACATGCCTTAAAATTGTCAAAGTTGAGAAACACTGGTCTAAGTGCTATTACTCTTACACCTTTTCCAACGCTGAACGTTGTCTTCTATGCAGGCTATGGAAACGGAACTCCTTCCCCTTCTAGAACCTGGCCGCCTTCCAGAAGATTCCAGACCGTCGGTGATCCGTGCTATGTACTCCTTGTTGTGTGAAGGCGGAGAGCACGTTCCTGTTCTGGTGAAGGATGAAGAACTGTCCAGCTGACCTGATGTGAGAACGGAGGTCCAGCAGACATACTTAGGGAATTTTTGGCCTCAATCCATTTCATGACAGGTGAATGTCAGCGGCAGTCCCTCACCTTCTTCACCTGGGTGCACTTGTCCAGCAAATAAAAAAGATTTTATACCTCTTCATTCACTTTTTTAATCCCTCCCCCTGTTTACGGCTCTTCTGCCAAAGCTCAGACAAGTGGTAGCTTGGCTTATTAACATTTTCTTGTTGGCCAACCTTGGCACTGCCCAGGCGAGTTTATTTTCATTTCCTGTAAATTAGAAACGCTCTTTGAAATCCGAGCTGAAAGGGATCAGCGAGATCGGGCTGTGTGTGTGTGTGTGTGCGCGCGGCAGGGATAAAATGTGCCAGAAATCTTTCCTGACATTAGTTTTTGGGCAGAAGCTGCATTTCAAAGAAATTATGAGGTCAAGGAAACCTCTTTGTCAGCCAGCCCTGCTTGTAAATCAAAACTCTGAGGTAGAAAGAGAGTGAACGGCCATCAAATTGGTTCCATCTCGGGACATGTTGTCCTTGTTCCATCTAGCTCTGTTTCTCAACCCTTGGCAACTTTAAGAGGAGTGTGGACTTTCAGCTCTCACAATTCCCCAGCCAGCTTGCATAGAATAGAACATAGAAAAATGGGGGGGTGGGGTGGAGGAGCCTTAGAGTCTTCCACTCCAATCCACATCTCAAGCAGGAGACCCTATTCAGGGGTAGGCAACCTTGGCTCTTTTATGACTCGTGGACTTCAACTCCCAGAATTCCTGAGCCAGCATGGCTCAGCTTGGAAACCTCTCCCTTTCCCCTCAGCATGGCTGGCTCAGGAATTCTGGGAGTTGAAGTCCACGAGTCATAAAAGAGCCCAGGTTGCCTACCCCTGCCCTAGACCATTCCAGACAAAGACCTGTTCAGTCTCTTCTTGAAAACCTCCAGCAATAGAGCACCCACAATTTCCAGAGGCAAGCAGTTCCACTGATTACTTGTTCTCACTGTTGGGAAATTGATCCTTAGTTCTAGGTTAGATCTCCTTGAGGATATTCCACCCATTACTTCTGCTCTCAGGTGCTCTGGAGGATAGATTGACCCCCCTCCTCTTCTCTGGGACAGCCCCTCAAATACTGGAAGATTGCTATCGTGTCACCCCCTAGTCGTTCTCTTCGTTAGGCTAGACCAGAGGCCCCCCAACCTTTTGGGCACAAGGGACCGGTTATGTGGAGAGAGGTTTTTCCACGGACCAAGAGTGCGTGGTTTTGTGTGCTGCCTGCATCCTGTGGATGGGGTTTTCCTTGTTTGTGTGGCCCGGTTGCTGGCATGCTGCATCCCAGTACTGGTCCACAGACCGGGGGTTGGGGTCTCCTGGGCTAGACATACCTAATTCCTGCAACCGTCCATCGTATGATTTAGCCTCCAGACCCTTTATCATCTTTGTTGCTCCTCTCTGCACATTTCCCAGGCTCTCAACTTCCCAACTTTCTTGAACAGTAGTTTATTACTTCACACATGCATACACCAGAGGATTGTACTGACGCAATGGCTTGATTTTGCTTCCATACAGAGTTGCTACTGTTGTCTTTCTGATTCTACGAACACTTTGTTAGTTCATGCTTTTTCCACCTGGTGGCTCCCGAGTACATTGGAATAATTATGTTCACGAACAGCAGGCTGGCAAAAATATTCTGGGATTAGTTTGCTTACCACCTCTACAGGATGCCAGATAGGGAGAGGTTGGGGACAACCTAGTCTGGGACAACCTAGTCAGAGGACCAGGAAATGAGCTAATTTGGTCCAGTGGTTAAGGAACCAAGCTAGGAAGCAGGAGATCGTGAGTTCAAGTCTCTTAGCCATGAAAGCCGAGTGGGCAACTTTGGACCAATCACCAGGAGACTAAATTCTAGTCCCGCCTTAGACATGAAAGCCAGCTGGGTGACTTTGGACCAATCACCAGGAGACGGTGAGTTCTAGTTCTGACTTAGGCATGAAAGCTGGATGGGTGACTTTAGACCAGTCAATCTCTCAGCCCAACCTACCTCACAGGGTTGATGTGCAGAAAATAGGAGAAGGAAAGCGTGTTGGGTATATCTGCCTCCTTGAGTTATTTGTAAAAAGCAGGCTAAGCTAGCATTTCCCTTCTGAACTGCAGCATCTTTATTCTTCATTTATTAAGAATATTTATCTGGCCACCTAATTCCCAGTGACTCCAGGGACTTCTATCCTAAACTATTGAGATCCTATACCATTCTGGACACATGACTGTCCAGTCTCTTCTTAAAAATCTCCAGTGTTGGAGCACCCACAACTTCTGAAGGCAAGACGTCCCCCTGATCAATTGTTCTCACTGTAGTTCTAGCTAGGATCTCTCTTTAATGATCTTCCATTTGTTAGCCCTCAGAAGCTTTGGAGAATAATAATAATAGTAAAGTTAGAAGGGATCTTGGAGGTCATCTAGTCCAACCCCCTGCTCAGGAAGGAAACCCTATACCATTTCGGACAAATGGCTGTCCAGTCTCTTCTTAAAAACTTCCAGTGTTGGAGCATTCACCGCTTCTGGAGGCAGGTTGTTCCACTGGTTAATTGTTCTAACGTCAGGAAGTTTCTCCTTAGTTCTAGGTTGCTTCTCTCCTTGGTTAGTTTCCACCCGTTGCTTCTTGTCCTGCCTTCAGGCGCTTTGGAAAATACTGTAGCTTGACTCCCTCTTCTTTGTGGCAGCCCCTGATATTGGAATACTGCTATCATGTCCCCACTCATCCTTCTCTTCATTAAACTAGACATACCCAATTCCAGCAGCCTTTCCTTATATGCTTTAGCCTCCAGTTCCCTAATCATCTTTGTTGCTCTTCTCTGTACTCTTTCTAGAGTCTCAACATCTTTTTTACATCGCGGTGACCAAAACTGGCTGCAGTATTCCAAGTGTGGCCTTACCTAGGCCTTGTAAAGTGGTATTAATACTTCATGTGATCTTGATTCTATCCCTCTGTTAATGCAGCCCAGCACTGTGTTGGCCTTTTTGGCAGCTGCAGCACACGGCTGGCTCCTATTTAGGTGATTGTCCACAATAAGATTGCCCACCCAATCTTGCCCACTCTGTCTGGCAGGAGTTTGGAGAAAGCATTTTTACAGTGGTGTGCCCCAACCAAAGATGACTTTAACTGGACATAATATTGATGGAATACATGAGAATTCCAGCTTGGTCTTCGTAAAGGGTGCAAGGTCCCTTTTTCTGTCTCCAAACTTTGCATTTTCTAGGCACATCCTTCACGTACATCAGAAGTGCTCATTTTGCCTGGCACTTCATTTAAGTTTTTCCAAGCACAAATAGCGCTTTGTTGTTGTTGTTGTTGTTGTTGTTGTTTTCTTTTATTTTTGGCTTGGTCTTCTGAGCAAAGAAAACCTCTTAGCGAGACTCCTTGACAAAGGTAGGTTCTGGGAACTGTCCTTTTTCGGGGTCTCGTCTTTTCTCCCTTTTGAAACCTAGCCTGAATTGAATAAGAGTGGAACCATTTTCCTAATTCTTGAATGGATTCAATTAATCCCCCTCACTCCCCCTCACCCCTACCTCCTCTTCTTTTCTATCCTGGATTCAATTGCTTTTGCAGAACCCTTTGCTGGCTTGCAACAACATTCCCCCTCCCTCATGCGCAGAAAAGCGGGGTTTTTGTTCCTAGGATGAGAAAAGAGATTCTGGAGGCAAAATGGATGAAGATACTTGAACTGGGAATTGAGGCGAAGGAAGCAGGGGGGGGGTCTGGTTAATTAATTGGTCTCAAAGGCTGAGGGTCTGCTATAAGGTCAGCAGAAGAAGGCCACCCTTGTGCCTGGCTAGTCATCTCCGGCATACTAAACAGGCCTAAGATTCAACCACCATCTGAGAATTAGAACAAGGCTTCATCCAGGCACAAGATGTGTTTCTTGCAGCAAATTCTGGACTAGCAGAAACTTGGGAAGTGGGCGGGGGGGAGTACAAAGCATCAGGGTGGAAAGGCTGGGTGGTGTTTATTGAGGGGGTCCCTGGTGTTCTCTGAGCTTGTCATGTTTTCTCATGAAGGAGGACTCCTTTTCAGGAACATGTCCGTCCTTCCAACGAAGGAGCATAACAATTGAATGAAATGAAAAAGGTCTTCTGCAGTCACGACACAAGCCTAAGACTGAAAATCAGGCTTGTCAGAGGCTATATTTTTCCTATCCAACTCTCTATGGAGTAGAGAGTCGGTCTCTGACAGAAGGCCACCTGAAGAAACTAGAAGCATTTGAAATGTAGATTTACAGACGGCTGTTACGTAGAAGCTGTGTAGACAAGATCAGAAATGAGGTGATAAGCTGCCTGGGAAAGCCGAGGGAAATCATCAAAACAATTAAAAAACGAAAATTAGAATATTTCGGACAGGTGATGCGACACCCAGAAAAATACGGCATACTCCATTTAATCCTCCAGGGAAAGATGGAAGGCAAACGAGGTCCAGGCAGAAGAAGAACATCGTGGCTTCAAAATCTAAGGGACTGGTTTGGACAAAACTCAGCAGCACTTTTTCGTGCGGCTGCTGATAAAAACAGGATCGCCAACATGATCACCAACGTCCGATAATGGATAGGGCACAAGAAGAAGTTCCCAGCCCCCAACTCTCTCTGTCTTGCTAATTCTGTAAATAAAATTAAAAAGAGGGGGGGGGGAATCCTAGGAAATGCCAGGATGAGGTCGCTGCATATGCTCAGTCATAAACACACCCCATTTGGCTGGACGTGCTGTAGGAGACCATCTGGCTTATACACGGCGCCTGGTGGATTACCAGGCTTTACAAATTCAGAGGAGCTAACGGAGAGTGTAAAATTCACATCACCTTGCAAGTCAGATAGAAGAGAGTGTTTGTAACTTGGGGTTGAACTGTAGGATCCTTGGTGCTCTCTGAGCTTGGTTGTTTTCTTGCAGACGTTTCATTACCAAACTAGGTAACACCATCAGTGCTAGAAGGGAGTGGGGTTTGCTTTTTGTATATATTAAGGTGACCAACTTTTTTACAATGAGAAGGAGGACACAAATAAATTGAAGAAAAAAAATATCGTAAATAAAACATTTTATTCATTGCAACAATACAGAATACACTATAATATGATACATGCATAATAAAAAAACAT